ATATTGAGATATCTTAGAACCCAGTTACTCTTTATAGGACAAGTTGAACCAACCCAACTTTAAGAGGATATTCCCTTAAAACCAATGCAAGCCTTAAATCTAAGGTCTTTATGTGATTTGCTTGTGTTTTCTATATCAGTGATTTCTTAGCATAATCATACACATCATGACATCATGCCACATCATTTCCTTAACCATTTCAAGGATCTCAAGGGTTTATGTTACAGGTTATGGTAAATCAGACGTCCAGCAAGGGGTAAAGAGGATTTATTTTCCTCTAGCCAATGTCGTCAAAAGATCAAAACTCAACAACTTGAGTCAGGGATTATGACCCACTTGATATGGTGAACTTGACTCTCGTAGAAGGACACTTAATGATACAAAGTTCTTCAATCCAAGCTACAAATTCTGACATTTTCTTGTTTACCCCAAGAGATCTTTGAAAACATTGCATACATATATCATACATATCATTGCATAAATAGGTGTTATAGCAAGTTTCTCATCCTCTTCGCTATTTATTTTAGCAATGGCTCTAGAATAAATAATGAAGGATCTACATACTCAGAATGTGCAATTTCAATAGATGATCATGGGTCTGGCCAAGGGGAAATAGGAACTGAAAGCCCTTATTGTGAAAGAGAAGACTAAGAAGCCAAGGAGGATAACTGGTGTGGTAAATCTGGGAAGGAGATTCAAAGGACCGCTAAGGCAAGTGGTTGAGCTGACATCTTCCTCCAAAGAAGGAGATAATCAAGAGGGTGAGACAAGATAGGAAGACCGTAGTCCGAGAAAATCTAACAATGAGACTGATTTTTACAATGAAGAGCAGTATCCTCCGACCGACGAAAAGTACAAACAGTTGGAAGAGCGTCTGAGTGCAATGGAAATCCAGAAAGTGCCTGGGCTGGACTTTGAAGAGCTGGGTTTGGTGTCTGGGGTTGTCATCCCACAAAAGTTCAAGGTGCCAATGTTTTCCAAATATGATGGGGTTGCATGTCCCAAAATGTACCTCCGATCTTATATGAGGATGATCCAGCCTCACAGTGCTGACAAGGACTTATGGGTCCACTTCTTTCAAGATAATATATCCAAAACTCAATTAGAGTGGTTCTACTAGCTGGAAAGGACCAACATTCGTAATTGGGAAGACTTGGCTACTACTTTCTATAAGTAGTATCAGTACAATATAGACCTAGCTCCCACCCGTACTCAACTCCAAAGTATGGTTATGGGTTCAAGCGAGGGCTTTAAAGACTACGCTCAGAAGTTGAGGGACTTAGCAGGAAGAGTCCAGCCTCCCCTGTCTAATAGGGAGCTAGTGGATATGTTTCTGGGTACCCTGTATGGTCCATTTTTCAATCACCTAACTGGAAGCTCCTCAGCCGGCTTCACCGATTTGTTCCTGACAGAGGAAAGAGTGGAAGCTGTAATTAGGAGTGGTAAGATCCAAAAGGATGCATGCTCCAGTGCAGTAAGGAAGCCATTTACTGGGAAGAAAGAGGTTAGTGTTGTGTACAATCAAAGGAATCAGGACATAACTAAACTCCGTCTAGTGGTAGGAGCTGTTATGATCTCTAAACCTGCACCTATTCAACAAAGGAACAATCAGCCTAGAACAGAAAGGCCGGCAAGACAGTTTACCCGGATAAATATGATGTTGTCTCAAGTCTTGCCACATTTAATGAAGTCTAATCTGGTAACTTTGAAGGAAGCTCCAAAGAATCCCAACACTGCCTCTCCCCTCTACAATCCTAATGCTCGTTGTGCTTACCATTCGGAAAGTCCAGGTCATGATACAAACGAATGTTGGGCTTTGAAAAAAAAGGTGTAAAACCTTCTCGAGGCGAGGAAATTGAATTTGACTCTCCCGAAATGCCCAATGTTATCACTGCTCCTATTCCCAAGCAAGGTCGTGGTGTTAACGCTATTGAAGATGATATGTTTGTTACTATTTTTAAAGAGCTTGTTACTCCTCTTTTGACCGTTAAGTGGAAGTTATTGAAGGCCGGTTTATTTGAGGGTTGTGGTGAAGGTTGCCATTTCTGTTCATCTCTACCAACTGGTTGTCATTTATTGAAGGCAGGTGTTCAGCGCCTGATGGATGATAGAGATATTTTGTTTGAAAAGACTCCCGTTCCAACCATTTCTTGCAAGTATGTTTTAATAATAACCATTTTTGCCAATCCTCCCAGGGCCTCCACCAAAATACGCGTCAGGATTACATTTTCTCTGAAGTTGGCTCCACTAATAATCACTATGCCAGGGCCAATCCCATACTCCTCTGACAAAATTGTTCCCTGGAACTATGGGGGTGACTTCTACTACCACGATGTTAAGCAAGACCTGCTGGCTGTTGAAGACCAGGTTTCTAAGAATGCTGATCCCGACATTGACAACATTGTTGGAACCAACAAAATAATAAGAAGTGGAAGAGTGTTCTCCCCTGATATTTCTCCTCCAAGAGCTATTACTGGTCCTGTGATCATTCCTATTGTTGTTCCTGTTGATACTACTACTGCAATTCCTGTGATTACCCCTGCTGACACCCTTATCACCGAGTCGACCGAGACTTGGGGAAAAGGCATATTTGTGGAGCCTGTCCGAATGAAGGCGCATTCAGTATCTATCCCAAAGGCTTCTAAGAAGGAGATGGAAGAAATTTTGAAAGAAGAGCGACTGCAATATAGTCGAACAGTTGGGGCAAACCCTTTCAAAAAGTTCTTTCTAGCCTTACTGTTGTGCTCTGAAGCTCATGCAAAGGATTTGGTGAAATTTCTTAAAAGTGCCCATGTGCCACAGGAAACCTCTGCTGACCAATTTGAGGATTGTGTGGCCAGTTTGACGGCTGATAATAGTTTGGGTTTTTCTGATGCTGATTTGACACCAAGAGGTAGGAAACACAATGATGCGTTGCTTGTCTCTGTCAAATGCAGGGGCACTACTTTGGCCCATGTCCTAGTAGATACTGGTTCATCATTGAACGTGTTTCATAAGAAAGATCTGGATAGACTAGACTGTGAAGGTTTGACCTTGAAGCCCAACAATATAGTGGTGAGGGTTTTCGATGGTTCAAAGAGAATGGTGCACAGGGAGGTGGACATCCCCATCAAAGTTGGTTCTCAGACTTTCGACTCTACTTTCTACGTGATGGACATCAAACCATCCTATTCTTGTTTATTGGGTCGCCCTTGGATTCATGGGGCGGGAGCTGTCACATCCACTCTACATCAGATGATGAAATACCCAGTCAAAGGAAGAATTGTCACTGTACACGGTGAAAAAGAATACATGGTCAGTCACCTGAACTCCTTCAGATATGTAGAAATGGATGGTGAGTTCATCGAGACTCCGTGTCAGAACTTCGAAGAGGTTCCTCAGACTATGCCTGCAACTGAAAATTTCACCAATATGCCAAAGATCACCAGACCCCCCTTGAAGATGACTTCTCTCAAGGATGTGTAGCGGTGAAAATCGGAGATCAAGCTATTAATTAACTTGACTCACAAAAGCAAGAGTCGCCACCGCGCTTTATTATTTCCAAGGGAAAAGGGAAAAGAGCGAAATAAAACCCTAAAATATGCAATGTAAAATAATACTTAAAAGTAATAAAAATACAATGCGTTTTGAAAAGAGATCGAGAGTTCGGGGGTTGGTTATACAATGGGAAGGTATTAGCACCCAATGCATCTGCGGTACTCCGCAGGAACCTTTTGAAATATCTGTTTTTTGGTTAAAATTGTTTGTTTGATTAAAATGATTCGTTTGGCTAAAAGATGGGTATGGACGAGATTTTTGAAGATACGACGACCTAGTGTCGAAGTTTTGACTTAAAAGGTGTGAGTTTGAAATTTGAATCTTTTTAGGAAAATCGACTTAATTTTGGAAAAAATAGTAAATAGGAAAAAAAATGAATGAGGGTGTTCGCTTGATCGGATGAGATGTATTTGATGACATGAAGTCAACGAGATTTAAATCTTTTCCTTGGAGTTAACAAAATAAAATGAACATCAAAATATAAACATTCAGAAGTTCACAAGAAAATAAATCTGACAAAAACAAATTAATGATCAAGAGGCACCGAGAAATTGAAATGACAGAAATATACAAATAAAAGGAATATAACTAATTATCTAAAGAAGTTATTCGAACTAAATTAAAAATTACTTACTAAAATAATTCTAAACTAATTACAAATTCTAAGGTTATAAAAAATCTAGTATTATTGAATTTGATCTAAACTAAACTAAAGTTTTAAAATTTAGTAAGTTAAATCTAGATTAAATTAAAATCCTAAGGTTACTAAATTAAATCTAAAACAAATGAAAATTCCAAAGTTACTAAACTAAATTTAAATCAAATAAAATTCTAAAATTACTAAACTAAATTTAAATTAAATAAAAACTCTAAAGTTATTAAACTAAATGAAAATTATAAACTTATTAAACTAATTCTAAATCAAATAAAAATTATAAATTTATTAAACTAATTCTAAATCAAATAAAAATTCTAAAGTCACTAAACTAAAACTAAACAAATAAAATTCTAAAGTTAACTTAAATATAATCAAATAAAATTCTAAAGTTATTAAACTAAAACTAAACAAATAAAATTCTAAAGTTAACTTAAATAAAATCAAATAAAATTCCAAAGTTATAAAATAAATCTAAACTAATTAAAGAATTCTAAATTAATATTAAATTAAATTAATTATAAGATGTACTAATATTTTTTTTTTAATTTTTTTAGTAATACTAACTTAAAAATCTATTAATACTATCTTAATATTCTAAAATTACACTTAATATGAGACCAGAGAATACATCCAAGATATGATAAATAAAAAGATTCTGTATAAGAAAATAAACAAAAAAGAAAAAATCCCAAAAAGGTTAGTTTACGGGAACAAAAAAAGAAAATAGAAAAAGTGGTAGTGAATAATTACATAATATTAATAACTTGTAGCATGGTTAAAAAAAAGTAAAACTAGTGAGAAGTTACTATGCTTTTTTGGGAAAAAGGTTGCGTAGATTAAAAATGTTACCTCCATCGCCGGATTGAAGATGCAATATGTCCTCAACTAACAACCCAGAACTTGATGTATTTTCTGATGTGTAATTGATAGTATACGGACACTGCTGCTTGGAAGTTTTACAATTTGAACCCATATCACATAACCGATGGCTGCAAGATATATGCTTGCTGGATAACGACCCAGAGGGACTATACTCATTCAGATCTCTATCCAAACTGGAATAGAAACTGGCAGACAAAGGAGCACACTGTATACAATCACAAGGAACCCAAAGAAGATCGCTCCCAGCATCCAATGCTACAAGAAACGAAGTACTCGGTGTCCCTATATCAATCCACGTGTAATGTAACCAGGCCAAGTCGTTTCCAAACGACATCGTTTTGCTACCATGAGAAGGAAACAGAAGCTGGTGACGAGCGGCACCGAGGTTAACTTTATGCCTGACAAAGTCGTTTCTAAGAAGCCTCTGGTAGTACTGCATGCTCCGCCGGTCTCATTGCAAGAACAATTCTACTCTGTTCCAGACGAGCAATTGCAGCATCTCTTTCAACACGCTGCTGAGTCTGAATGGTATGGAAAAACTCGAGCTGGTCTTCAAGATTCTCGAGCGCGGTCCTTATAGCATTAAGACTCTTGGCTTCATTGACAGCGTCATCAGCATCCTCATCCCGCGGCCGAAAGTCCTTGACGAAAACAAAACCAGCACCGTCTAGTGTCGTTTCGGTGGCAACCGCGTCGTTTATAGTCTGAGAAGAGTTCGTTACGGTTTTAACCGAAGCGAGAAAATGAGATCGCGAAACGGAATGAATGGCGTCGCTGAGTTTGTCGTGTAAGTCCCAGATTTTCTCGAGAATCGCTTCTACTTCTTCCATCTGCATCTTCCATTTAATTTCATCGACAAGAGAGTGAAACGCAGAGAGAGATGAAATTTGGATTCGTCGTCGAGAATTACAAGTGGTGTAAAGAGGAGAGGGTATTATGCTGAACGAAGGTGGGTTGTTGTGTTGATGGTGGTTCCGTGGAAGGGAGATGATAGGTGATGATGGGAATTGGAAGATGGAGGTTGCTGTGATGTAAGGGTGTTTGATGGAATGATGAAGGGTTAACAATGTGTGTGGCATGGAGAGAGGGGATGTTGTGCATTGAAGAGTAGGAAAGGGATATTGAAAGATGAAGGGGAAATTTGTTTACTGTGTTGTTTTTGTTGTGTGTCCACAAAGAAAAAAGAGACTATTAAATAGCAAGATGAAGAGGAAATGATTTCTGATTATCCCATCTCGTTCACTCTTTTTCTTTTCTAATGTATCAATCCTGCACTACCTCTTGCAACCAATTAGAAAAAAGAATAGTTTAACAAAAAAAATAATGATTAAAAATCCCTCTAAAAATAAAAATGACTTAAAAACCTGAAAGTGTACAAATTAATGCAATTTAAAATATATTTTTTTGAATTTTTCTGAATAAAAAATAAAGACCCAAAATGACCGAAAATGATAAAAAAAACGGACGCAAATTTATCCGAAAAAATAAAATGAACACATTAAAATAATCTACATGTCACAAAGATTAAAGAAAAAATATTCAAGAAGTCAAAAATCAAAAATAAAATAATAATAAAAATATCAGACTAAACAGACGTTTAAGGTTAAAACGAGACTTCGAACTGTACCAAAAAAAATAAAGCGAGCATACCGTCATAATCTACGCGAAGCGCAGATTCATAAAATGATCGGTAAAAGGTGAAAACTTGAAATATTTTTCTCGCTATTTTTTTGCACAATATCGAATCGCTTTTAACAATCTGTCTATAAAACCAAAATATTTTTATTAGCGACATATAAACAACTTAGAGCGATGTAAGAAAATAGTAAACAAATAAAAATGCATGAAGTGAAATGTCGGGTATTTTACAACTGAAAGACGATGCAAACTTTGATTTAAACTGACTTTTCTGGTCAACTTAAATACGACTAATGATGCAAAATATGATGAATGAAGATATTTACTAATGATTGTGACCAAATGACAAAATATGGTATGAATGTGCGACTGAAAAAATTAGGGGCGACATTTAGGGTGCAACAGTTGTGCCTTGATGAATCAGTCTTCGAGAATCCACAATCAACCGTACTTCTGGCTTGGGAGACTCAAAATCTTAATTGACACGCGACACCTGATGCTCTCGATTCAGACCTGTCTCTGCACATGACACAAAAGAAAACATGAACATACACCTTCGCATGCGATTATAAATTAGTGATACATAGGCTAAAAATGTTCAAAACACTTGACAATTTTCGCATAGTCAAAGCTCGAAGGTGAGACGTTAAAACCGACCCTATTTCGTGACCTTGGCTTATGTTTAAAAATGCAAAATAAATATGGGATCTTAGGTCAAAAATTGGGGTACAACAGCTGCCCCTATTTAAGTTTCTTCTATCTGGAGATATGAAGATTGGGATCTTCATTTCGACGAGATTGAAGGGACTTAAATATAGAATACACAATTTTTGGCCTTAAGATATCGCGATTATGTTCATGATATGATATGAATGTGATGTTTTGAATTTTATGGGGAATGACGCCATATGAGACAGACTATGCTGGAGAAACCAAGCACATTATACAGTAATCCCACAGAGGAAGAGGTTGTAACTCCACTGGGGAAACAAAGTCATAGACTTCAAATGAGAGACTCTTGAATGATTTACATCAGTGTTGAGACTGGAAAAGAAATGATGGACATCAGTACTGAGACTGGAAAATGATTGACATCAGCACTGAGACTGGAAAATGATTGACATCAGCACTGTGGCTGGAAAACAAAATGATTGACATCAGCACTGTGGCTGGAGATAAACATCTCTGATTTCTGAATTTTACCAAGAACGGTAACACATTTCTGCTCTAACCAAGATATCGCTTGAAAAGGATAAAATAACAAACTTCCCCACGGGACTTTTCCGAAGGGATGCCATTTGATGAGTAGACATTATTGTCGGGGATACACAAGCTGCTCAAATAAAGAGGCCGCCACTTGCTTCCTTTCAAAGGTGTCAATAACATACAAGCTGCTCATGAAGAGACCGCCACTTGCTGTCTTCAAAGAATATTAAAGCACACAAGCTGCTCATGAAGAGTCCGCCACTTGTTGCCAAAAACCCACAAGCTGCTCATAAAGAAGCTGCCACTTGTTGTCTTCAAAGAATGTCAAAGCACACAAGCTTCTCATGAAGAGTCTGCCACTTGTTGCCAATAACCCACAAGCTGCTCATAAAGAAGCTGCCACTTGCCGTTTTCAAGGGAACAATAACACACAAGTTGCTCAAATAGATAAGCTGCCACTTGCTGTTTTTTTTTAAAAAATGTTGATAACATACAAGTTGTCCATGAAGAGACTGCCGCTTGCTGTTTTTAAAAGTATTGATAACATACAAGTTGTCCATGAAGAGACTGCCACTTGCTGTTTTCAAAGGTGACAATAACATACAAGTTGCTCATGAAGAGACTGCCGCTTGATGTTTTCAAAGGTGACAATAACATACAAGTTGCTCATGAAGAGACCGCCGCTTGCTGTTTGTCAAGAGTATTCATAACACGCAAGTTGCTCATGAAGAGACCGCCGCTTGCTGTTTGTCAAGAGTATCCATAACACACAAGTTGCTCATGAAGAGATCGCCGCTTGCTGTTTGCCAAAAAGATACCCATAAAATATCGTGAAGATATTGCTGGAGGTGAGAACCAATAATTTCATCGGGGATGTACAAACTGCTCATGAAGAGACCGCCATTTGTCGTAGAGAAAACAGAAATAATCAAACTGCTCAAATAAAGAGTCAGTCGCTTGTAGTCATGTCGATATTCCAGAAGAAGGTTGTGATAACACTGCTGGGGAATAAAGTTCAACTTCAATGGGGAACCATGAATAAATCCTTCTTGAGGAGACCAAGTATTTACGTTGCAAAATAAATGCACTCTCCATCTAGGTTTCACAGCCTAGAGAGATCCACAGGGTATCGTTCACAAGAGACAAAGCTCAATCCAGGAATAAACTGGAGAGAAAAATAGTCGAACAAGACTCCACCCAATGAGGAAACAACTCAAATGGGGATTTATCCTATCCAGAGATGGAAAAGGAAAGCTAAAGCAAGATTCTTCCACGAGAGTTAACTCAGTGGGGAATTAGAAAAGAGGCACACTTTCTGCTTAAGTTGACACTCTATTTGGAAAGATCAAATATGCTATTTGAATAGACATAACCAAGGTATACGAACTCAAAGACATCAACAAATACAACTGTGCATGCATGATGCAAGTGTGAATGAATAAATGAATGTCATGTATATGCTGACAAAATAGACAGGGGAGATAGACAGAAAATGATAAGACGTCACAGTACAACTCGACACTCGGCTAATCTCAACAGGATGGTAACATTACTGGAGATAAAAACAAAAGCCATCATTGGAGCAAAGTCCTTTTACACGGCTTAAATATCTTTGGAGAGGAAGATATTTTCAGGTAGAAAACCCAAAGTCCAGTCTTCTATTGCAAACAATCCATAGAAAGGATAACAACACAAACAAAGTTTCAGCTGGAAAAAGTCACGCTTAGCTGGAGATACTAGGAACACCACCCTCTGATAATGTGTGCAAAACATATCTTGACAAATCTGGATTGCCCCTGGGACTAAATTTGGATGCCCCAAGTTTACTGCTGATAAGCTGCATGATGCACGACAATTCTTGCGAATAGCTTCACCTCTAAAATGCCCCGAGCTATATGGTTGATGAGGAGAAATCGTCTCAAGAGGATTTTACAAAAGACTTGGCATTCACCATGCTCTGGTGTCTTCAAACTCTTAGAGAGATTCATCAAATCTCGACGTGATTGCCCCGGATTGACTGTAGTTGGCACAACAAAATCTTCAAATTTTGCCCCAAAAGAGTAAACAAGTTGGGAAAACATTAACTAGGAGAAGCAACATGTTCATGCTTAAGGTCTTCATGTGACATGCCCATGGATATGATTTTTTCTTGACGTGATCCGCCAATTACTCAACATAGTTTCAGGCCTTAAAAGAATAAAACTCATCACTGGTGCTTATGTGAGCTTCCTTGATATCAAACAAATGTTTTGCAGTTAGAAAAAGTTTACAATGAGAATGAAAATTCTAATGCAACAGTTATGTAAGTCTTGAAGATTTTGAAAAGATATCGCACAAATTTCGCGAGTTAGAGCATCATTTATTTTTGTATAGGAAAAACATATGATACCAACATAACTATTTAGAACATTCATGGGAGTCAGGAACACTATCTCATTGAAGTATGCTTTCAAAATAACCTTGCTTCAATTAGGACTTTTGAAGGTTGTAACGTGCTCTGGTTCATGGTTTTTTAGAAAAAAGATTTTAAGGCTCAAAATATTTGGTGCCCACCCATTCTTCATGATGTTCTACAACCCTATGTTCAGTTAATTCAACATGAGTGTTCATCTCTCAAAAGGATTTTGTGACGGTCAAGGAAACGACGAGGCTTTCGGAGTAGAAACCGCCCTCATGTCTTCGTGTTTGTAGTCACCAATTTGTTCTTTGTTGAGGACTTTTCTTTGCAGTCCTTTCCTTTGCAATTTTTATTTTCCCTAACTTTTGCCTGAACTAATTCTTTTGAATTGATAGTCCAGCGGGATGCCTTAATTTTGCCTAAGTCACACGTTTTCATGTTTTTTTGACTTAGCAGGCTTTTTCTTTTTCTCGATTTTTGACTTTTTGAACAAAATGTGTGACATTAGCTTGTATTTGCTTGTTGAGAAGATTGTGATTGCCTCGTTTCTTGATGAATGAGGGATAACATTATGATTCCACATCTCTAGATTCATTATACATGAAGGATAGCCCTCGTAGTTTCTCTTCAAAAAACATCTTCCTTATGAATTTTGAACACTCAGCCAGACTAACTAAAAACTACCCTGCCCCAGGTTAAAATTCAAGGTTTTTTCGTATAGAAAAGAAACTTCTGCTTCAAAGGCTCAAAAGGGGTTAGCAAGGGATTATCTTCCTTATATCTCCGGTGTTTAGGGATTTGAAATAATGCCTGTACATCATCATCAAGATTTTATCC